TCAAACTTTTTTTTTTTCTAAAAATACTTGAAATATTCAAATGTTTTAATTATTCACAAACAATTAAGGCTAATAAAAATGAGTAGCAGTAATAATAATTATTACTTAGAAAATTTATTTATTTATGGGAAAAAGAAATAATACTTAAATTAATATAAAAATAATGCAAATAAATTTCAGTTCATTGAAAAAGCGAATTCCCGGGATGTAACGATAGGACCACGTTTATTCCTCCAATGTCCATTAAGTGTTGTAGAATCACGCGAATGGTTTATCAAATTATGGAATCAAATGATAATCCCATATATGATTAAAGTAGCTAAAGAAGGTATTATTATTGTATATTAATATGATAAATTTTGATACGAATAAAATGTAACCTTAAATTTTTACAATTCTAATTTATTCCAAAATTGCAATAAGAGGTTAAATTGGATTTAATTAAGAGTTTAATTAAGTATTATCAACCTAACATAACAATATCTCAGTATATTTAATGTTTTTGCAAATATTATATTTTGTTTGCTTTCAATAAATTGCATTTATTTACATATTTAGATTTGTTAAAATTATACAATTTCAAATTTTATATAAGCTTGCAATTAACAGTTTGATGTGGGAAAGAAAAAATTGAAAAATTAAATTTTGTTCAAATTTAATTCACTTTTTTTTTAAAAAAAAAAGTCACCATTTAACTTATATTTGACTAATTCTTTTTTTTTTTGTTAATTTTTTTCAGGTGTAAAAGTACTTGGACGATGTGGTAGTTTTGAGGATCCAACTGATTTTGTTTGTGAGCAATGGCCATGGTTAGAAGGTTCTGCTGCTGAACATATTCTACAACGATTATCACCAATCAAAGAATCAATATCAAATCATTCAAATAATACTCAATTTGATCCATTAGAAGCATTGATTCGAATTCAGGCTAATAATGCTAATTCACAACAAGAAATGGTGCAATAAGGCTAAATTATAAAATGAATTTCTTTTTTTTTTTTGGTTACAAATTAATAAAATCAATATCTTTCATATTTCAATTTTAAAATTATGCAAATTTTCTTATATATTAAAATTTTTTAATTCTAATGATTTATTAATTACTATATTATTTAAAATCATTTGACTTTTGTCACATAAAAGCATTTGTCATTTTATTTATTAGCAAATGAATTTACTCTGCCATCTTTTCTTTTATATTACCGACAATTATTTATAAGTCCAAATCTTATCAATATTATGTTAAATTATAATCCTAAAAATAGGTCCAAATTTTTTTTTTCTATCATATTAGATATAAAAATTGAAGTCTATATTGTATGTTTGGATGTGTTCTTGTATTTAGTTCATATATTTTCTCGGAAAACTGGATGTTAATTAATTTAAATTACCTTTTCCGGTATTTATCTGTATTATGCATTCCCTTCTTCATCTATAATTTATTCCATTTTTTACTCCAAAATTTATTTCCCTTGTTATGATGCATATTTTTTGGAATATGTAAATTTTAGTTTAAGCAAAAAAAAGAAAAAAAATTTAATCGGATGCAAAATTTTACTTGAAATGTTTTTTTTTTCTTTTTTTTTGTTTATTTGAAATATATATTCCAACGTTTAATTAATTCATTTTATTTTTGGTTGTAAATTTTATGCCTTTTTTTTTTGGTAATTATTTTTTGCAAATGTATGTATAGAATTAATGATTGTGTATCACTTTCACGTAATTCACGTTTTTAATGTTACAATCCAACGCTACGTTTACTTGTATACTTCTCGTAGGCTATCCTGCCAAATTTCACGGGTTTTCTTTTCTTAATGTTATTTCATTTCAATTACTACCAATTATTTTCAAGTTTTCAAATATTATGCCTGCATTTTAGAATAACCTTACTGTTATCAATTATCAATCACTATTATCAATTACACTTTCGTCTGTATTCTGCTGTTTATTGTCAGAAGCCATTAAGTTGAAATTTATGTAAATTTCAAGTTAAAGGTTGAAAGTTCTTTTTTTTTCCTTTCTAATTTTCAATGTCTGCCCACAAATCCATTTTGCTTATCATCCGACATAGTTCAACTGATAACGATCATTCGAATTGCACAGACTAATTTCGTTTTCTTTTTTAAATGGGAAAAAAAGTGCTAATTTTCCATTGATATATTAATGATATTTTTGACAAAATCATATATTTATAGTTTTTTAAACCTTTTGACCTTTTTTTTGTTTTTGTTTTTTTTTGATTGCAAAAGGATTTTCAAATGGTTCATTTAATAAATTAACAGTCTGTGATTACTACTTATTGTAAATTATTAAATGGTATTTTTTTTTATTTAACCATTTTATCATATTTATCTTTTTCTACTTTCCATTCATTTTATTTTATATTATTTATATTAAAAAAAAAAGTAATGTTTAACTTTTAATAAATGCCACTAATTTTCTCGTTCTTTTTCCACTTCCAATAATTATTTTTACTTTTTTTTCCTTTTACTTGAAACAATACTTAAAAATAATAATTATTATAATATGACCATAATTGTAATCATATTGTAATATAAGATTAAATTGAAAAATTTTCAACTTTATCTTCCTTGAGATGCCAAAAGAAGATGAAAATGGAAGAGGAAAATAAATACTTGAATATGTCAAGAAATTACTTAAATATTCGGTGTTATTAATTATTTTACTTAAATAACAAATATTATTATATTTGAATGAATAAAATTGATTATAAGCATTTTTATGAAGTTTACAAATGCATTCCGGAATATTTTTATTAGGTTATTTAAGTACAAGAGGAATTATTTGATGAAATTAATTAATATAAAAAATTGTGCTAATAAGAAAGCTTATTGCTTGTTATTTAGGTACAAAAGGAATTATTTGATGGAATTAATTAATATAAAAAATTGTGCTAATAACAAAGCTTACTACTGCTTTGCTGCTTATTTTAAAGCATTGAACGATGAAATTTATTATGCAATATCAAATGTTAATATTAAATATTTGCCTGTATGATAAATTATAGTCGCATTATGCAAATTGAGTTCTAATTTTTTGACTAATAAAATTATTGCAAATATTTCAGTGATTCTATGATTTCGTCATAGATAAATGAATGAAATTTTATGCATTCAGTGCATAAGTTAATATTACAATTTTCTATTGGGGATTTTCATAATTAAAGGAATCGAAAATTTTCAATTAATATTTCAACATATTAAATATTAGATGAAAAGAGAAAATCGATTATTGTTACCTATCAGGTAAGAGATTACAATCTCAACTAATTTAACTAATATAATTATTCAATTGATCGTACATTTGTTGAATGAAATCAGAGAATTTGATAATTTTACTTTAGGTAGCATAAAATCAGATTTGTGCATTTCAAATTTAACAGATTACTAATTCAGATTAATAATTGGGAATTTTTTGCCATTTATTATTTCATTTCATATTAAGCAGAGACTTTTTTTTCGGTTTTTAATTTTAAAATGAAATATCCGATAAAAAGTGATTGGAAATTTTATTAGAATCAAATAAATCGTTAATGAATAATCAAAGAAAAGGTGAAAAACGAGGATATTTTGGTGATAACTACAGTAAAGTTGTCAAAAATTAACCTTCAATTGAACTGATATAATTACTTATCAGCATTTCTATTAATTTTTCACTAATTACTTATTGCCATTTTTACTAATTTTTTTTTTTACTACACTTGTTATCATTTATTGTCAATTATGTAGCTAAATGTGAATTGAAAATCAATTTCATTGCAATTTCTCGATTAAAATAGAAATAAATTTAATAAATTTTCAACGTCAATCTTATATGTTACACCTGGATTATTAAAGGCAATAAGTATGGTAGGTAGTTAATGAAATAGCTGATAGTGTGACTAAATTTATCACTTAATATATTCCTTATCATTTTAACTACAAACAGATAAATGTAAAACCAATTAATATTTATTTTAAAATTTTGTATGATAAAAAATTTGAATGAGGTTATTATCAAAATGTATATCATTCATTTTATAAAAATTGTTTTCTTACTGTCAAAAAAAGATAAAAAAAAAAGAAAATGAAAATGATATGAGAAAAATGTCTTTGTGATAAAATGTTGACCTCATTTAATTCTCGATTTATGTTAGATATTTTTCTTAAGAATATAATCTTGGCTTTATTTAATGAGCCAAATAGTTATCTTCAAATGGCATCATTGAATATTTCGGCTACTGAATCTGGAATTTTCTTCAGATAAGAGATGATTTCCATCGGTTTTAATTGACAATCTGTGCTATTCCGGTTATACATTCATTATTCATTCTGTCGTATCCTGAACAGTATATTAACAGTAATGTTAAGTTTCATCTCTGATATTTAGATTAAATTGAGACATTTAGATT